AGCGAGGATTACATAAGCCCTACCAAATTGCAGCGTTAGTCTGAATTTCTATCCCCTAATAGGGGCGAGCTTGCTCGTATATAATACAATAAATTGGAACACTAGCAAAATTGCAAACAACCACATGTAAAATTGTACTAACACAAAACAATTCTTTTTTTGTCTTTCGTGAGTGAGAGAGTCGATTTCGCCAGAATTTTAGACAATAGTCTATTGCTTGGTTCACGTTGGAAATTGGAGCCATCAGTGACATTACTTTTTATTCCAAAGCCAGGCTAGATTAGAAATTTGAAGAATGAGACGTTACTTACCAACAGACTTGCCACTAACACAGTGTAGACAATGAAGAAGATGAATTTCATGTTGGCGAAAATCACCACTTCACTTTGATAAATCTTCGTTTATAAAGGCTACACAAGAACGTAAATTTTACTTATCTACTTAATAAACTGAAAAACCTAATATTTTTAACAGGATAGTCAGAAAAATTCTCCAAATGTCATTATTCGTCATAACTACACCGTCACATTATTGTTTTTTTTATTTCTTTGTTTTTAAATCATTCTTCCATACAATATAAATAAAAAAATTACGACTACTATATAACAATAATGAATTTGGTGCTTGTCGTTTGTAATTAACAGATACGCAAATAAACGCGCAGCGTTAACACATAAGTGATGATGACAATTCATTGTGTCCATCTTGTCGTTCTGATCCTGAGAAATTTGTAACGTTTTTCTTAAATCTCGAACCTCGCTGTGTATTCAAAACAGTGTGAAAAGCATTCGTCACGTTTCGACGGACAATTTTCACGGCTCGAGCCACATGATTCAATTTTTACGTTTGTTGCATAAAATAACTATTTCTGGATTAAAACCGTCTCACCATGGGCTTTATTTTCGCACATGGCTGCTTTTATGAAAATTCCTACTAATTAAGAGGACACAAAAATGAAGCCGCGCCAGTGCAGTGTTCACAGAAACTCGAACAATTATCACCGTGGAAATTCCAGATTTCACATCCGAAAGCTCTTTGTTAGGGAATTTCAAATCAACAGGTTTGCGACCTTCACCTTGCTGGTTGCAGCGGGAAATGAACGCCATAAATCAGGCAACTCCAAAACGTAACTTCGAGTTTGCAGCACTTGTAGCTAATTATTTATTAAACTACGCTGGAAAACATAACACGATAACGAAGTCTCGTCGTAATCATTAACCAAATCTCTTGTCGCACGATTACGTTTAAGAGGGAATCAAAAAAGAGTAAAACGTGGTCGGGAAAAGTTTAATGTGTTTAGCAGGAACCTCTCGAGGAAAATTATTGGCCTTATTTCTGCGAAAGATTTTTATTGAAGATTATCTGACTCTCGTTTGCTCCTGTGTGATATAATAAATCTACGATGTTCCCATAGTAAGAGCTTTTTGTTTGCGAGATGAAGGCTTATGTAAGATTTTCTTTTTTTGGATACCTGGGGCTAAATTAAAAATTCACTCAAAATTAATCTTCCTGGATTAACCTTCTGCAGGCGTATAAATTCGTTCGAAATACTAGACAAATTGATAATTTCCAACAAACATATCTTCGGCTATTATGGGAGGTCGTTGTACTATGATGATACACGATCCCAGCCAACTCTGATCCCCGCTATTTTTTCCAAGAGCGCCGCAATTCATACAAAATTTAAGTTGAAATACACTCTATAAATCACCCTCAGCTACAAAAAGTCAAGTGTAATTTCTGCCTAAAGACGAAAATAATTCACTTGTGTCACATCCTGGCCTTTAACAAATATGAAAGCGTCCAATGCAATTTGTAGGCATATCACAGTAGAATACTGGAACTAAATTTAGACATTTGTGTTTTCCAATTCAGAACAAAACAGATTTTATTATGTTTACACAATATAATTTTTACAGAAGAAAATTTCATGAATATGAATCGAGTGAATTTATGTTCAATGAATTTATGGAAAAAAATTAACTATAAATGCATCAAAACTGATCACATGAAATTAATTTATTAATATTTTTAGATCGACACCATTATTCTGGAAATTTAATACCCCACCATTGAATGTATCCACAATGGTAGCTGATTAGTTTGAATATCAAAGGTACGCATTTGCATCACAGACAATGGTCTCCTGATGCATTAGTTAAATCGTTTCAGGCTCATAAGAGCAACTAAATACGTCGTTTCAACAATTGTCGGGATGCACACAAGAAACAATTATCTTCAAATGATCCAACAGTGAAATAATATGTTTACTAGTAAAGCAACTCCTCCGGTAGGAAATACAACCTACTGAAACAACAACACATGCTTAGCTTGAGCGCAGCGAGTCCACAAATCAAGGATAAAAAAACAACAACAAGAAGAAAGAAACAACGATGAATGGAATAAAAAAATAAAAAAAACGACTACCATTTCAAAACCCAACTCAAGCAGCCGTCATCTCGCAAAGAAAGCCAAAAATACCAATATTCAGAAAAAGAGGGATTATTCCGCTGGTGCTTTTCCCCTATATTAAAGTTCGCGGAAGTTTCCAAGGAGTTCGAAGTCAGTGAATTTGTCTCGTTGTTAAGAACGAGGGATCTAAAATGAAAGGATGATGCGGTTCTAACTTCCGAAGTTTTTACAATCCTTCAATTCCAATGACATGTATTTATTGCGACGTTGGGAAAATGGAGTTCATGATATACCTCTTTAAAACAAAGTTTGCGCGGAGTGGCGAAGTTTGTTAAAATTTATCTGGATACAATTAAAGTTCAAGGATAATATTTCGCGTGGAAACGCGGCAATCTTCGGCGATAAAACGCGCATAGTGAGAAAATAAACCAAAAATAGGGACAGTAGAAAAAGCGTAGACAGAATACGGTTGAAAAAGCGGTGCCAGTATTGATTTTAGTTATTAATTTACATTTTTTGCATCGTGAGGTGCAAAAAATTAACTGCGTCTGTTCTTATGAGTGCATCTTAGTTTGTAGTATCTGGTTTCCAAAGCAACATCGAACGCATCGTAGTAAATATTTTTGTTTCAGAAATATATTTTCTGTTGTTCTTGGAAATTTTTTTAATAATGAAAATTTAATTATCCTCATTAATGTTTTTCGTACGTGTCTTACTCAGCACGCAATGGATTGTTTACTTGATCACACTTCATATTACATGCTAGTCACATAAATCACGAATACCTGTTCTAGAATGCACACATCTGAATCACACAGGCAACATATTGGAAAGAAACTGGATTTTTTTATGTGTATTTTAATGGTATAACGTCACATGATTTTCCAAAGATGTATAGTCGAGGTTAATAGCACATTTTTCAGTTCAATTTGAAAATTGTCGTTTTATTGTCAACGGTCAGGTCGCGTTACGTTCTCTAGAGTTAACTTAGGTCAAGTCAGATCAGACTAAGTAAACTTAAATCAGGTTCTCTTCTATCGTTTGTCTTCTATCGTCTGTCTTCTGTCGTCTGTCTTCAATAGGTATTCTACCATCATCTGTCATCTATCTATTTTCATCGTCTGTTTTCTGTCGTCTCTCTTCTGTCATCTGTCTCTCGTTTGTCTTCTCTCTTCTATGGGTTATTTATTATCTATTGTATGTCTTTTCGTTTATCTTCCGCCGTCTGTTTTCAGTTGTCGCTCTTCTGTCGTCTGTCTTCTCTCGTCTACCTTTTGTCGTCTACCTTCCGTCTATCTTCTATGAATTATCATCATCTCTTCTTTATCTATTACTATTCTTTATTTATTTGTGGTTGTCTGTTTGCCGTCTGTCTTTCGTCTTCTGTAGTCTGTCGTCTGTCGTCTGTCTTCTATCTTCTCTATTCTTTAGTTTATTAGCGATTTTATTGGATGTTTAATCTCCAAAACTACTAGCCTGATTATTGTGAAATTTTATACGCGTTTTAGAAATATCGTGCACACCAACAATTTGATGACGTTGTCTCAGTGTTTCCAAGTAAATCCTACTTAGGCCTTATAAAATCACACGTCTGTATCTGTGATTCATGACACCGTCTTTATTATTTTTCGAAAAAAAAAAACTATAACAATATTTTATAAAATAACTTCAAAACCGAGTTTATAGAGGATGGAAAATTTTTTCTGCACACAGGTCGTGATTTTCTTGTTAATATTTATCTGAATCTTACCAAACAGGTTTCAGAAACCAATGCAAATTCATATTTTTGCATATATTTATTTTCATAAATCTGATGTGAAAAATTTGTATTGATATAAAAGGGGATAGTAAACAACAAAACTAAATCAATGTTAAACACTTTCTGTTTATCTTGTACCAAATTTAGGTAATTCACCTTGTCGAACCCATACAATTAGATTTTATTGTACTCTGGTATGCCCCGTTCCCGAAAAATTCTGTGTCTATAATAATAATTTATGTTTAATGGCAGGTTCATTTCTATTTGGTTAGTGTAACATAATAGCCTTAGCCGCCGCCCAAGGAGACTATTTAACGAAGGCTATAAAACCAGATTAAGTTGTAGCTGTATTAATAAATTACTACTACTACACTGGTCGTAAAAGCTAATGGCTAGTGCAAACCGCATGTTACTGGTTTCGTATTTAAAAATCCCACGTTTGGAGGTTCCACTGTATCTTTTTTTACAAACGTATCCCTTCAAAGCAAAGTATTACTAATTACAACACGAGCACTTTTTCCCTACAAACGAAGCTTTCACCATGTTCCCATTTCGCCTCCCTTTAGCCTGCACCCCGATGATAACACAGGTGGAGCTGTAAAAAATCGCCACCAATGAAAAATAACCCCCAAACTCCACCACCACCACCCCTACGTACCACCGACACTTCTAATTCACCCATCCACTCCAACCCTTGCCCCCAAGGCGCGTCTGCTGATGAATACGCAAACAACGCGATTAATCTAACGACAATTTTAATTACTTGATTAGCTTCATATTAACTTGCACGGGACGTCCTCGGCGCATTTCCATCTGCGTGCTACGGCGGTGGTCTCCGCCTCCAAACGCTGAAATTTCAGCGATCGCACCTTGCCAACGGTAACAGTCGCGCGCCAAAGCTCTTTCAGAGCGCAAGTGAGCTTCCTGAAATTTCCTGAAAGCGTCTTTGCGGACTTCGGTGCTAGCTTCGGACTGAAAGCGGTTGAGATCTTCGCAGCGACTATGGTGAGTTTTTGAGTGGCGGGAAGGGCACCTGGGGCTTTTGGGTGTTTGGGATTTTTTTTGTGTGGGAAGGATGGCTGATAGCTACTATCTGGTTATCGATTGAAGCACTTCTTCCGTGTGTTTGCACATGTTTGTCAAGTGCGAATTGATACGTTCGCATATTTTAACTGTACCGGTGTGATTAGTTTGTTTACTTTTGAATCAGAGAGTGGTTCACTGACTTGTGGACTGTTTTGATTCGCGGAGGAACTTATTAAATCTTAATTTATATTATTATTTCATGGATTGTTTGGTGGAAGTGTTTCCTTGTTTGATTGTTTGTGAGATTTTTTCTCATGAATTGACACAGTTTTCTAAAATTAGGAATGATTTTAGACAAATTAATGTTGTTTCTCAGAGTGGAATTTAACACCCGCGGGATTTATTTTTTTATACACTTCACTTTGTTTACTTTTTGATAGAGAAAAAAAGTTTTAAATTAAAGCAGTATTTTTTAATATTTTTGAATTAATTACTACACATTATTACAAAAAAATTAGATAACCTCACCAATTTTTTTTAAGTATCCAAAATTCGTTTTTAATTTAATCAGTAACATATACCGTTCTATCTAATTTTAAAGCAACTTACTGGATGCCATGAATGGATACATTTCACTCAGTAATTTGTAATCATTGTTAGAGTTTACCAAAATTTCAAAAAGTCCACTATAATCATAAACTCGTACTTTGCAAATTTCTGAGATAACTTCGCCGATTTTTTTTTTTTTTTGGAAAGAATGAAGTCACTAATTTTAGTTACGGTAATAATCTTAAAGTAATGTGTTGTGTAATTTCGAACATTATTGATCTGATAACATCATCACTATACAACTTTTTTCTACGATTCATGTGAAACTTAACCTAGCAAAATTCTGAGATGACGTCATTGATTTTTAGGAGGAGGTGATCTCAATAACTTTGGCTAGCGCGATAATCATAAAGTAATCTGTTGTAAACTTTCGAAGATTATTGATCTAATACGGAACCCCCTTCTCTAAAATGAACATAAGAAATTAAATGAAGAATTTCTGAAATCTGGAAGAAAAATAGTGGAAATAAAAAGAAAATTTTCTATTACAAATTATGAAAAAGAAAACACTCATGTTACAAAATAAGCTATTTTTGGTTTAATCAGTCGTTTCATGTTTTTAAACATTCTGTATAAACAATTCTTTAATAATTTTTTTGAGATGACGTCATCAACTTTCTGAAAAGCATATATGTATAAATAAATTATAATTATTCGAGAGTGAGATTTATTTAACAAACTTCTGTGATGGCGTCACCGATTTTTTGGAGGCAATAAATAAATACATTTTTGTTAAAGTAATTAAATCTTTATTCGGCATAATCGCTGAATTAAAATGACCCTATTTCAAGACAAAAATTTGTACAAAGTGAGAAAATATAAGGATTGAGAAGTAGAATAAATAATAAAAAAAATATATGTACATCTATGGAAACAAAATAAATATCTAAAGAAGAAAGTTGGCTACTAAACACACCTGAAATACATATAAAGAAACAATGGAAAAGTGAAAAAGAAACCCAAAACAACACTTTACAACTTGCTAAAAAAATATGAGCAGAAAAAACAAAATTCTCACATTAGAAAAAAATTACAACAAAATAGAGAAGAAACGACACCTAAACAATGGAAGAAATAATCGGAAAAATGTAACTTAAAAACAAGAATTCAATATAATAATAAGAGGGTTGAAACAAGGTGACATACTGTTCACAGTATTAAGGAGTGATGTTATAAAAACGTGCTTTGGCATAATTATTCATCAAAAATTTAATAAAAAAATTCTGACACAAACCCAAAAAATGTAACCGAAATTTAAAATAATAAAAAAAAAAATAATGTTATTATAAGAGGAAAATAGAAATATTAAAATTAATATAGGACCACGAAAAATACAGTCAAGTAAAACATAGTCGATTGATTTGAATAAGAGACTGCAAAATAAGATTACGGTAACGATAACGATAACGATAATTACACTTAAAGTAATTATTCGAGAAAATAAAATACGACCATTTAATGGAAACTTGGAAAGCAAGAAAAATCAACAGAAACGCAAAACGATGACCTATACAAACGTGAAAATATACACACTGTATATTGAACAAAAGAGGAAGAATGTAGAAGGAAGTAAGATTTATCACTGGTTGGACAGCAGTAGATAAACTTTATGTAAGAAAAGTAAAAATATTGCTCTAGACCATCCATTCGCGATTTTAATATATATATTTACGTTTCCAGGAACAATGTTAAACACACTGAAGGAGATAATATTAATCAGAATTTTATTTAATTCCTACTTCCAATTATAAAAAATAAAGAAACCCCAATTATTAAAAATATTTACCGCACTATTAAGTTTTTTTTTGGCACTTTTAAGATCTTTGGCATGAAATTAAAATTTTAATTTATATAGTCTTAGATGCAATAGCTTGCGTATTAGTGGAGGTTAAGCCAAGTTAAATCACAAGTTGAGCAGTTTACAGGACTAGCTGGTAGTGCAACTATCAGAAAGATTAAAAAAATTAAGTACTAACCAATCAATTTAAATTACTCTAAATTAAGTAGGACGATTGAGAACAAAGGTAAAAATAAACTACACAGAAGTTGAATAAAAGATATAAAAATATCAGTTAAAAAACCACTATTTTAAGCTTTTCCTGTAAATATTTTTGTGCAGACTTTTTCACTCTGCAGAGAAAAACAACTCATTGTTGGTTGTTACATACATATCCAGCCGCACATTTCCAAACAACTTAAAACCATCGCTTTTGCTATTTTTACCCGTTACGAAACAATTAAAAACAACGCGGCTTTAATTATTAATACACACTAACCACAGCTACTAATCTCTTCCAAAAAAAAAACTGAAATCCTATCGATAAACCACAAAAAATTCCCATAAACCATTCGACTTCACTCATCCACCAGCATCGATTATGCCGTAAAAATTCCATATTTTATACAGAAGATTAATAATATGAAACCGAAAATAAATTATCTTTTAAAAATAACAAACAAGACTTTTACGACGTGCTGATTTACCATTTTCTCCACGCTAGGAACACATCATCGAAACCGAGCTTTGCATGTAAATCCATTCAATTAATTACGTCAAATTCCCCCAATTGTCATCCATTTTTATAACAGTTGCGTCATTCGCAAAATGGAAACCGTATCTACGTAACAAACAGATCCTGTCAGCTGGTGAAAAGACGCTCATTCATGTTCCAGCTAATACTCGGAAGTTTGTTTTAGTTAAAAATGCTCCAGTTACAAAGAAGTTAAATTGTGAGATGAAACGACACGAGGATGTAGTTTACGTGTTGGCAGCGCTCGCTTCGCTCGCTTTATATCTTCACCAGCTTTTAGATAAAAGCTCTTGTTAATTATGGTTTGCTACGATAGCTAATATTTCCTCACTTTAAAATAGGTCATTCCGATTTTAGTATCCCTAATCACTAATTAATTAAAACTGTAATCGATAAGCAAACAGAGCGATAACTTTTAGACGAGAGAAACGAACAGGAAACTACTAACAACTTCCTGTTTAATTTTGTTGTACCTGAGTAGTTAGATCTGTGCGGACAGATTGGTTTAGCATTAGGTACGCAGAAGAATAAAATTCGCAAAGTTTGCAACCCCTCTGTGGCATATTTCTGTTGATAAGACCCAAACGGCAATAAAGTTTAAATGATCGTGTTCGGTACACAACGGGAACTTTTAAAGAGGTTGTAACATCGAGCCAATATAGAGTTCAACCTTATCAAGGGGATGTATAAAAGTATAGCCCTTTAAAAAAAACGTCGATAGTCGGTTGGGTGTCTTTTTCTGTCTGGTGTACTCGAACGAGCATTAAAATGTCAAACTTTTGACTAAATTAAGACAGTTTCGGTTTGAATACTAGAAAAATTGTTTGTATTGTTGCCTGCAGAATAAATCAGTTTTGTACGATAGTATGAAGCATGAAACCCGTTTTCGGGTAGAAAATTCTTTTCTTTTTCGTCTGAAAATACAAAATTTTCCCATTTCCACTGCAACTTCCGCACCGCCGCCCCTTCACGCTACGCTACGTCTGTATAGTAACGTAATCCAGAAATACCAGCAACTAATAAAGTTTCATTTAATGGAGTGCTCTCGACGCTATTTACTCATCCCCAATATGAGATATCAAAGTTCAAAGCACGAAAATAACGGCATTTGCATGCGCGGAATGCAGACGGGATTTTGTTTTATTGCAAAGCGTTTCAAGACCACCTGTACAGTTTCAATGAAATTGCAGTCATTCTAAAGCTGCTTCAGTTTTCTGATCATTTGCGGATTTACGTCCAGTTTAAACAAAACTCGCCTTCCTGTTTTTTGTTTCGAGCGTTTGATAAATGGGGACTTATTTCTGGCGCTAAGCGCGTTGGGAATGGTCCAAAGTGGTTTTCGATAACAATCGATTGCTGGGGGTGGGATATAAATTAAACGTTCGGGATTAGAAATTCTCAGATGTTGTATTTCTTAGAGGTATAATGAATGGATGCACTTAAATGCGACAATGTCGGGTGTCGGCGATAAATTCCTGGAATCCCACCACGACTGCGCCAAGTGTTATCTGCATACACATATGTGTATTCAAACTGAATTTTGCCTTATAAATCTTTACTACCTATATTCGGTTGTGACTTTCATTCTAACTAGGTTGTGCTAGTTGAAATGAACAAACACGGGATTGTCGAGGGTTGTCAATAAGAGAAAGTGGTCACAGCGATATTGAGGTCTTCGTCCACATACAAATACATTTTATTCTTATCTCGAACAGGTTTTTATTTGCTAAGCCGTCCAATTTTCGGCTCAGTTCCGCTGGGGCAAATGTAATAATTTTCGATCAAGGCATTCTCGACATCGTTTACTTGACTTATCAAAAAACAGGGACGTTTGGACAG